TCTTGGATGTTTGTTCCGTATCAGCTGATGTAGAGCTGCCTTATTCGAACGAGCGCTCTGTATTCCGTTGTATGATAGGCTCACAGTATAAAGCCCGTACCCTTTCCCCTGAATGCAGTGAAGCCTCTCCACCCTCTTCTAAGCCCGAGTCTGAGATTAGCAGGTGGGGGTCACACCTCTGCTGTCTGCCTGCTAACTGCCTCAGCCACAGGGGAGCTGAGAGCCGGCCTCTCACACTCCGGACACTCCACTTCTAAACCGGGGCTCTTGGGTCCACTATTCCCCAGCTCCTCCTTTTCAAGCACCTCTTTGAAACTTTTCACATCCCCTTGTCACTTTTTCTACCATCCGATGGGGACTGACAGGCATCAGGTAATATTTGGAGACTTGGTTGAAAAATGAAAGGATTTTTGCGGAAGTACGTCAGCATAGAGAAGAGTCACTTTAACAGTAGCACCAGCATTATTGATGTGGAGAGGTTGCTTAGGCAGAAAACCAAAGTGTACGGTCCTTAGAAGGTAACCAGCAGCCTCACCCGCAGAGCTGCATTAAGTTCCGGAGAAAAGCACTGATGCTTTTATGTTAAGAGGCTTGTTTTCCAGATGCAACAGAGCGTAGTCCCTTCCTTGGCTCCTTGCTGCCTCTGAGGGCTCTGACTCTGCCCTTTCTGTTTCTTGGGCTGGTTTCCCCCTGCCCTTGGCCTGTGTGCTTGGAGGGAGCACACCCTCAGGGCTCTGCCGGCAGCTCTGCTCTGTCTGCTCTCCACCCCCATCTCTGACCTCACAGGCTATTTGTTTTTTATTTCTTCTTCTAGAGTTCCTTTGTATATAAATTTTTTCAAATTTGGTTATCCCATTTTCTCCTGTTTTTAAATAAAAATATACACACTTTTATTCCTTTTTTATTTTTCAAAGAAGTGGCATGATTTTGAGGAATATAAAGGAATATAGGTTATTATAATGTGTACTTTTGCTGGCTTGGGTTCTAGCTCTGCTGCTGAATTGCTCTGTAACTTTGCAAAAAGCACTTAATCTTTAGGTCTCAATTTTCTTACCTTAAAGATGGGGATAAAATTTTTCTGCCTTATTTTCTTTACGATACTTTTGTATCATATGAGCAAAAGTCCATTAAAAGAACTTTGAAAAGTATTAAGTGATACATACATACACGGGATGGAGTATTTAAAACACTACGAAATATTTGCTATTATAAAATAGGATGGTTAAGTCTTTTTTTTTGCGGTACGCGGGCCTCTTAACTGTTGTGGCCTCTCCTGTTGCGGAGCACAGGCTCCAGACGCGCAGGCTCAGTGGCCATGGCTCATGGGCCCAGCCGCTCTGCGGCATGTGGGATCTTCCCAGACCGGGGCTCGAACCCATGTCCCCTGCATCAACAGGCAGACTCTCAACTACTGCGCCACCAGGGAAGCCCGGTTAAGTCTTTCTGATAAAATAGGTCTAAAATATTTGAAATAGGTGCATGAAATAGGTTACACAGACACTGACTTTCCATATGGGCACATTTAGTTGGATTAAGGAAGACTAATGGCCCACTAGGGAGCTGTGTCTAGTTACACAGGCAAATGCAAATCAACGCTTTCTCTCCTCTTTTTAAAATAATCAGGACTAGGCCAGGAAATGATACGCCCTCTGCCTCACCTTTACTTAAGGCCTGTGGGAGGAGGAGGGTGGGGCTGGAGAGTGGGGAGGTGATGGGCTCTGTGAGAGAATATTTGCTAAAGACAAAGGCTGGGTGTTGTGGTCTGAGGGGGTGACTGTCTCAGAGGTGGGGAGAGTTCACGACAGGGAAGCAGGTGCAGGTGGGCACTCGAATTTTAGAGATGGATCTGTGAGCCGGTACGGCTGGGGTCAAAACTCTGACACCAAATTGACCAGAGTGAAAAAGAGCCGGGGTCCAAGCCTGGCTCTGCTGCCACATGGGGTGACCAGACTTTACTTTCAGATCTGTGAACAGGCCACATTACTCATTATGTTTGTAAGACATGAAATGTGTTCATTCAAACAACCTTACTAAAAACCCCGTAGAAACATCATCTCCATCTTCTCTTCGATACATATGCATATTGTTTGTCATAAACATGTATCTAGTACTTTCAGTTCTGCGTTTTTCATTTAATATGATCATCTATTCAGCTTTCAGCATTGCTGCTTCTTTACTGTATGTATTTGTTTCCTGGGGTTGCTGAGACAAAATTAGCACAAACTGGGGGGCTTCAAACAACAGAAACGTACTCTCTCACAGCTCTGGAGGCTGGAAGCCCACAGTCATGGCGTCTCTCTCCGGAGGCCCTGGGGAGGGTCCTTCCTGCCTCTTCCAGCTCCCAGAGCTCCAGGTGTCCCTGGGCTTGTGGCCGCATCCCTCCTGTCTCTGCCTCTGTCCTCATGTGGCCGCCTTCTCGGTTTCTATGTTTTCTGCTTTTCTGTCTCTTTTAATGTCGCCGAATTTAGGAAACACCCTAATCCAGGTGATCTCATCTCGAGGTCTTAATTACACGTGCAAATGAGGCGACAGTGGAGGTTCCAAGTGGACGAATCTTTGGGGTCTCAGTTCTCCATTTTAGCAGCCATGTAACCCTTCCTACTGATGTGCTGGCCATTCTATATCTTGCTGACATTTTGCTAATGTGAGCAACAGCTCTGCACAGACTGTGTGTACGAAGGCCATGTAACTGTTATTTTCCTTGTGGGTTATTTTCTTGGGATAGTCTTCTGAAGCAGATTTATGGCAACGGTGAGAGCGGTTTTCCAGCTCTTTTAACATGCTGCCAGGGTGTGGCCCAGAAAGGCTGGATGTCTGTGATACCCACAGCATTATGTGAAATATCTGGAAAACAGAGAAGCCAGCAATCGTTTCAGTGTCTGATAGGAGGCAGATATCCAACAAGTGAAGAATCAGCTGCGTGCAGAGCACCAAGGCCTCAGAGAAGACCTGACCTGACCGCCTTACCTTTTCTGTGGTGCCGCTTTACCCCGCGCAGCTCGTTCGGTGCTTTCTGAGGGGCTGGCAGCTGAAGAAGGTGGTCACCGGATTGGTAACAGAGCCTTGGGTGAGGGCGGGGGCTTCCCCTGGCCTGTGAGCAGCTTGCCCCTGTTTGTGAAGGAGACGAGTTTTTCTTAGTTCACCAAGCTCAGGGTTCTCTGCACTTCGCCTCCCGTCCCGGCTGCCTTGTCTTTCTGCTGAGTTTTCTGTGCCTGACGGGTGATGGCCTAATGGGCTGCCCCCTGGGAGGTGAGCTTAGCAGGGATCAAAGACAATGCCATGAAGTGTCCCACTTCTGACATCAGCCAGTTGGCAGGAGGGGAGCAAGGGAAGAATCAGGGCCGTTAGGAAAATGCTTCCATCCCCAGCTTAAAACAAGGCCACCCAGACCCTCCACGGTTGGTTTTGGAAGGGGACGCGCCTTGGAGAAGGGTTGGCTGGACCATGTGTCTCCACATTTGCGCCTCTAGATTTCAGTGCCGCAGCCGTCCGCCCTCAGAGGGGAACCACTGCACCCACGACCCTGTGGCCATCGATGCCCCCTGCCCATCCAGCGCCCTGCAGTGCCTGAGACACAAGCGGGGAGTCCAGTATTCAGATGCGAGTGGTCTTACGGCCGGCGGTCACCGGAGTTAAATCTATGTGGCAAGTGCCTAAATCTAGATTGTCTGGTTAGGAAACAGAGTCCCCCAGCAGCGTGGGCACCCGGGAAGTACCGGGTCTTCTTTCTCCAGGCACCCATCGCCCTCTGTGGTCAGCTCCACCTTTAACACCCACCCCTGGAGCAGCTAGACATTTGGCCTCCAAGTCTAGCCGAGCATGAGGACAGGCCTCTACCTGAGGCTCAGTCTGGAGGTGATGACTGAGCACGGAGTCTGACCCCCTGAGTGCAAACCCCAGCTCTGTCTCTTACCAGCGTGTGATCAGGAATGACAGCTAACACTGCTAAGTTTCTGATTCTTCACCTGTAAAATGGGGGTGATTAGAGTGTTAAGTTCAGGGGCTTGTGGCGAGGAGTAACAGAGATAAGCACCCAGCACAGCATCTTCCACACACAGTGCTCAGAGTCAGGGAATGTGTAAGGAACACACACGTGAAGACCGGCCCCAGGGGCTTCCCTGGTGGCGCAGCGGCTAAGACTCTGTGCTTCCAATGCAGGGGGCCAGCTTCGAGCCCTGGTCGGGGAACTAGATCTCACATGCGTGCCACAACTAAGAGTGCACATGCCACAACTAAGGAGCCAGAGAGCCACAACGAAGGAGCCCGCCTGCTGCAACTAAGACCTGGCGCAACCAAATAAATAGCTAAAATAAATATTAAAACAAAACAAAAAGACTGACTCTCCTCCTGGGGGATTGATAGGAATTATCTTACCTCCTACTCAGATGCGTGTGGCTCAGCACTTTAGGCATCACTATAATTATTGTATTGGAGAATATGACTCCATAGCACTAAATCCACACAAGAAGAAATAACATGGTCTCTGGAGTCTGGTGGATGTGGAGTAATCGCTTTACAAGGCCTAAATCACACTGGGAGGTTGCTTTCTCATGAATAGCTCAGACTTTTTTTTTTTAATCATTGCAAAAGCTAATTTATTTCACTCTTTTTATAAGAACAGAACAAACTCTTGATCCCAGTTGGGCCCAAATCACCTATTTTCGAGGCTGATTTTTTAAAAAAATTTAATTAATTTTTTGGCTGTGTTGGGTCTTCGTTGCTGTGCACGGGCTTTCTCTAGTTGCAGCGAGCAGGGGCTACTCTTTGTTGCAGTGCATGGGCTCCTCATTGCAGTGGCTTTTCTTGTTGCAGAGCACGGGCTCTAGGCACGTGGTCTTCAGTAGTTGTGGCACGTGGGCTCAGTAGTTGTGGCTTGTGGGCTCTAGAGCGCAGGCTCAGTAGTTGTGGCGCACGGGCTTAGTTGCTCCAGGGCATGTGGGATCTTCCTAGACCAGGGCTTGAACCCGTGTTCCCTGCATTGGCAGGCGGATTCTTAACCACTGTTCCGCCAGGGAAGTCCTCAAGGCTGATTTTTTAAAATCTCTACAGGGAGCAGGGAACTTTAAAGCTATTAGAGCAATGCTGCTCTCCTCTGTGAATAGCCTGAATTTGACTTCAGTTTTTCCACCTGCAAAAAAGGGGGACTGTGTTAGGGTTCTCCAGAGAGAGAGCACCCATGGGATATATGGAGACACACACGCACACACACGCACACACACACACACGGAGAGAGAGAGCGAAAATAAGGAATTGGCTCACATGATCATGGAGCCCAAGATCTGGAGTCTGCAAGCTGAACCCAAAGTAGCTGCTGGTGTGAGTTCCAGTCCAAGGGCAGGAGAAGACCAGTATCTCAGCTCAACGGTCAGGCAGGCAGCTGGTCCCTTTACTCAGCCCTTTTGTTTAATTCAGGTCTTCAACTGATTGGATGAGGCCCACCCACACTGGGGAGGACAATCTGCTTTCCTCAGTCTACTGATTCAAATGTTCATCTCATTCAGAAACACCTTCACAGAATATTGTGTGGCCGAGTGTCTGGGTGTCCCGTGGTCCAGTGAAGCTGACACATAAAATAGCCGTCACAGGGACTGAAGACACGTGTCCTGCTTCCTTTCCAAACTTCTACTCAGAAAGAAAGGATGGAGGTGGGCTCCAGGTTGCCACAGATCAAATAATTGTGAGACAGTGGTCTTAAAAACCAAGAAGAAGTAGATGATTTTTACTCTTAAAGACGGTCAGGCCACTATCTGAGTCTTTTTTTCACTATCTGAGTCTGAATGGGCTGCCATAACAAAATACCACGCACCAGGTGGCTTAAACAACAGAAACTTATCATCTCACCATTCTGGAGACAGGTAGCCCCAGATCAAGGTCCAGCAGGGTCAGTTTCTGGTGAGGCCTCTCATCCTGGCTTGCAGACGGCCACCTTCTTGCTGTGTCCTCACCTGGCCTCCCTCAGTGCATACACTCCTGGTGTGTCTTCCTCTCCTTATAAGGACACCAGTCCTATTGGGTCAGAGCCCCACTCTTAGGACTGCATTTAACCGTAATTACCTCCCTAAAGGTCCCATCTCCAAGTACAGTGACACTGAGGGTTAAGGCTTCATATATAAACTGGAGGGGGCGGGGTACCCATCTTTTTACCTCCCTGGAACCAAAAGATGTCATATTCAGCATTTATGGTGTAGACATGGCTCCTTCCAACCCTTAACCCCATGAAGAGGAAAGATGATGAGGTTCAATGAATTATAATGAAGGCTCTGAATGCCATCATAATCACCACTGTTGTCATTATCATTTTTATCCCAAGACATTAAGAACCTGTTCATAACATATTTGGTGGTTTACAAAGAGAACTCGAAAAATCGATTTACTCAGCAATGTTTATTGAGCATCTTTGATGCCCTTGACTAGCTACTTTTGAGGGGGAGGGAACCAAGATGAATAACAACCCCTGCCTTCAAGGTGTACCAGTTTTGTAGGAATACTTAAACACATGCACACGTACACATACCAAGAATCCAAAGTGGAAAGTGTTAAATGTAATGGAAGTGATAAAGTGACAAATGTGCACTCTGGGAGTTTGGAAGGGAGATAAACGTAGAGTTGATAAGAGTCATCATCCTTTATTGAGCATTTACCGTGTGCTTGGCAGTTAGCTTAATCGCGGTTCTCCAGTTCTAGGATCTTACATCATAAGGTAGACAAAATTCAGCTCACAGTTGACCAAGCACTGCGTGTACCGATGGGTAAAGCACTGTGTCTGAGACTCTCTCAAATGCGAAGATGATTAAGACAGGTGTCCCGTCCTCTAGAAACTCATAGTATAAATAGGAAACTGTAGGAATGGGTGCTCAGCCGAACAAATTGCTATCAAATAAAAAAGTGTTCTCACCCTCTATTGGCCGGAGATAGGCACCTGTCGGGAAGGGAAGGTGAATCTGTGTTTGTGCTTGGACACTTGGCGAGTCTCCACGTGCGGCCAGAGCAGCTCTATGTGGTAATACCTTGCGGAAAAGCCACGGATTTGCCTGGAGTGACATGGGGTTGGAGGTCTGGGCCTGAGGAGAGCGGGAGAGGAGACAGAAGTGCTTTTACTCTCTTTAGCACTGAATGGACTCTGGTGGGGAAGTTTGCACCGAGACCAAGGATCAATGACGGCCCTGCCCACCACTAAACTGGGGAGGGGAGGGGAGAGTGAGGGAAGTTCAGTAAGGTGGACAAAATCTGAAGTGTGAAGAGAGGGCCAGACCCATTGTCCCCACCTCCTCCAACCAGAGGAAGCGGGGCAAGCCCCTGGCCCTTCAACATCACTTGTGGTCACCAAGAGAAAGGCTTATTACTGAGCAAAGAGGCAGCCAGAATACTGGTATCGTTGTGCAAGTTCTGGGCTTAAAAGTAGGAAGAGGGAGTGATGAGGAATGGATCAAGAAAGAAACCTGAATATAATGGTGGAGGGAGGAGTAGAAGCGGGAACAGAGGACGCACTGAGCACCTGCTATATTCTCACTAATTCTTATCTCAGTTAATCCCCCAGCAGGCAGGCCGGCCTCGATGGAGGCGCAGCGGGCTTCAGAGCAGAGGCTCCACCCCTCACTCAGCACAGGCTGACGAGCGGCAGCAGGGCTGAGCTCGGAGCCTGTCCCTCCCACCCAGTACCCTGCCCCACCACTCCTGCACTCCCCCGGGTTGGGGGTGACTTCTCGAGCTGAGCCCCAAGCAGGTGCCTTTCCTGCCTGGGCTGGGCCTTCCTGGCGCAGCTAGTGTTTGGCCGCAGGAAGAGGATGAAAGTTTGGGGACCGTGAACGTTTATTCTAACAGCACTTTACATTTCTTTCCTAAGCGGCTGGAATTACAAAGGCTGATCCTACAGAGCATAGCGTGGGAGCCTGGAGCCCAGCCGCGCAACCCGCGCGTGCGGCGCCCGGGCAGAGACCCGAGCCGCGGGTGGGCGGGGAGGAGCGATTGTGACCTGCCCGGTCCCTCCCTCGCCAGCACTGTGATGCTGCAGGGCAGCCGCTGGTCCCCTCCCGCCTGGTGTCACAACAGCGGAGGCGGCTGTATCTGGAGCAGTTGGAGTGGGCAGGCCCAGCCGGGAGCTAGCGGGCTACGGGAGCGGCCGCGATGGTGAGCCTGCCGGGCCGGGGCGCGGTGCGCTGGGGGTTGGGGGCACGCGGCGCCCAGCGCAGGGCCGCATCTACGCGGGGGCTAGCAGCCATCACTTTGGATCTAAGGAGTTCGAAGTCTCCTGGGGGTGTCAGTTCAGGGTCGAGGGATTCGTACCCTCGGGCGGAGGACAAGCCGGTGCCAGTGCCCCTTCTCGTAGAGAGAAAGTAGTGACGGGGGCGAGTTGCCCCTTAAAGGGACCCAAGGGAGATGTGCACACTCAGGTGATGGGAAGGGGTACATGGGGGCCCTCGCAGAAGAGGTGAGGCTCTGAGGCATCACCTTGGGGCAACTCAGGAATCCGAGTGGGGGAGGGGCAGGCAGTCCAGGGATTCCCGGAGGCTGGGGGCATGGGCGGTCAGGTCCCTACACCCAGCCAAATTTAACAGAGCCCCGAACGTGTCAGGGGACTTAGGGCGTCACAGCCCCACGCCTGGGGGCTTCGTTCTCCTTTCCCAACCCCGGCCATCTGGCTTGGGCTTCCCAGGCCCCCCGGCACCCGCTCCAACTCCCCAGTTTTTCCAGTGGTCCAAGCCAGAGGACTCTGGCCCACAGGGCTCTCCTTCCGGAAGGCCGGGGGTGGGGTGGGGCTTCAGATCAGTGGTTTCCTACCCTGGCCTCTGGTCTGCCCACCTCCTTCGTGGACTTACTTGCTGGAGATGACCTCCCCCACCTCCTCCCTTCACCCCCTGCCCCCTGGGCTGGGTAAATTTGCCTCCAATACATTTGCCCGGACGCCTGGAAAACCAGAAATCTCCTCGTCCAGAGCCCGGCTCTCTGGGCCACTGGGAGTGGGGTGGAAAGGTTGGGTGGGGAAGGGGGCAGAGCGAGCAGTCTCACAGGCCAAGGTCAGGCTTTCCACACTCTTGCCCGGGTGTCAGTGACCAGCAGGACAGGTGAGGACTGCCCTCCTCCCGGCCTCTGCTTGTTCTGGAGAGTGCCCAGGGCCCCTGGCTCTGGCCCCAGCTCTGCTGAGTCTAGTCCAGGTCTGTCCCGCACCCTCCCTCCCCAGAGCAGCCTCCTCGTGGCCAGAGGAATCCACTCCTGCCTGAGGCCCCTGGTGCCGGGTCACGGAAGGAGCTGAGCTGGGAGTTCAGAGTTTTGGCTCCTGTCTCTGCAGCTAGCTGTGTGACTTCAAGCAAGTCACTTAACCTCTCTGAAGTGGTTTTTCTCATCTACAAAATGAAGAGGGCTTATGGTTCAAATTTTCAAGGCTCCACCTAGTTTTACTATTTTAACCTTTTTATTACAGAGAATTCCAAACATATACAGAAGAAGAGTGTTATAATGAACCCCTGTATATGCCTCATCCAGTTTCAACAGTTATCTACTTATGATGAGTCTTGCTTCATTTACTCCCCTTCCCCTCTCTCCCTGTTATTTTGAAGCAAATCCTAGGCAGCATACTCAAGATTTGATATTTAATATTTATAATATCTAGCACGTAGCTAGTGCTTTATAATTTTCAAAGTGCTGTCTCTTGCACGTTTTAATTCTGACCTGAGAGCCATAGTGAGTCTTAGAGGGGATCCCATGATTCTAATCCAGCTCTCTGAGCAAACTTCAACGTGCATTCAATAGGCCAGTTTCTGAAAATACCTAATAAACCAAAAAATGTAAAGTAAAACCTTATTTTAAATGTGCTAAAGAATTTGAAAGATGTTTAACTGAAAACCTATGGCTGAGTATTTTGGAAAGAGAATATCTTTATTTTGAAACACTGAATTTTGTATAGCAGGTTCTATTTGGAATATTAATGGGCAGCACTGTCTTGATGGGGAAACTTTTTTTTTTTTTTTTTTGCGGTATGTGGGCCTCTCACCATTGCAGCGTCTCCTGTTGCAGAACACAGGCTCCCGACGCGCAGGCCCAGCAGCCACGGCCCACGGGCTCAGCCACTCCGCGGCATGCGGGATCCTCCCGGACCGGGACACGAACCCATGTCCCCTGCATCGGCAGGCGGACTCCCAACCACTGCGCCACCAGGGAAGCCTGGGAAAACATTTTTATTGACCATTTCACACTCACAGAATCTAAATTTATTTATTTATTTATTTATTTATATTTATTTTTGGCTGCATTAGGTCTTCGTTGCTGTGCACAGGCTTTCTCTAGTTGTGGTGAGCAGGGGCTACTCTTCGTTGCGGTACACGGGCTTCTAATTGCAGTGGCTTCTCTTGTTGTGGAGTACGGGCTCTAGGCGTTCAGGCTTCAGTAATTGCAGCACGTGGGCTCAGTAGTTGTGGCATGCAGACCCTAGAGCGGGTGGGCGTCAGTAGTTGCGGCACATGGGCTCAGTAGTTGCGGCACGTGGGCTCAGTAGTTGTGGCACACGGGCTTAGTTGCTCTGTGGCATGTGGGATCTTCCTGGACCAGGACTCAAACCCGTGTCCCCTGCATTGGCAGGCGGATTCTTAACCACTGCACCACCAAGGAAGTCCCCAGAACCTCTTTTTCAAAACCCCTTGACTCATTCCTGAAAGGCTAGGCTGACACATCTGCACAGCTGGACCCAGAGTCCCACCCGTGCCGAAAGGACTCTCCTTCCTCCAGTGGCTGGGCTTCCCTCCTGAGGGTTGGGGAAGGCTGCCCGTGTTGAGGATGGATGCAGCATTTCTGTAGTTTCTAGGTGAGGATTTTAGAACTAACCCTGTAACTGAGCATTCCCATCTGCTCCCAGGGTCCCTCTGGTAATCAGGTCTCCTGGGAACTGAGACTGTGACACCCTTTTTGGCGTCGGTGATTCCAGGCCTCAGAGAATGTGTCTGTGGTTCACGGGGGGAGTTGAGAGCACAGCCTCCTCACTGCACTCCTCCTGGGGGGGCAGGCCCGTGAGTTCAGGCGGGAACTGGCATCAGATGGCAACAAAGAGCCTGTCTTCCTGCAGAAATGGGCAGCTAGAAGGCAGAGTGTCCTGGGGGTGAGGTGGATGCTGCTCCCGAGTCCACAGGCCTCTGCAGACGCCCTGAGCGGGCGGCGTGGCTGAGCCCCACAGGGCCTGGGCTTAGCTTCCGACTCCGAGCACCCCGGGGGCTGCGGTCACTAAGTGCGGGTCCCCAGAGGTCCCTGGGCACATGCTGTGGGTGGCAGCGGAGGCCCCACCCCCAGGCACTGTGTCCACAGGGAGCGTCTGGGCTACAGTTGGGCCCACGCAGAGCCTGGGAGTGATGCTGTGGCTCAGTGACCTCAGTGACCTTGAGAGGAAGATAGAAAGTTACAGTAATTTTTGAGGAGGAGAGAGCTAGTGAGTACAGGGCTAGTGATGGGGTGGGTGGGAGGATGTGGCTCTTGGGGGCAGAGTAGACCCACTGCTCCCTCCCTTTGGCCACCAAGGGACTGACAGGACTGTCTGTGGCCTTTGTGGCTGACGTCCCCCGTCGGCGTCGTCCTGTTAGAATTTCTCCCAGATGAAGAGCCCAGGAGGAGAGTGGGTACCGTGTGCGGCGGATCAACACTCGCTCGCTTTCTCCGGCACCTGACCCCAGTGTTGGCTGAAGCTCAAGGGCCTTTGACCTCGAAGGGTCTAGAGAGTCTAGGAGTCTACGACCAGCCCTGGCCACTCCCGAGGGCCGCCTCTGCCACCCCTGTTGCTGCCCTGCTGCAGCACCTGCAGCCTGATGTTAACTTAGGTCGACTCTGTTCCTGCTGTTTCTGGCTTGCTATCTATTCTTTGAGTCCAAATGTGCTCTAATTGAAGGATTTTGAGCAGAGGTAGTGCAATCTTTCGTGAACCACATTGTTCTTACTTTAATTATCCCTCTGGAACACTGGTTCTACTTTTTACCTGTCATCTCCGACCTAGATCCTGAAGTGTAGGTGATTTATTATCCTAGCCTGAGAGCTAGAAGTAATTGGGTCTAAAAATATGCTTCCTGAAGGCAACTGTGTGGCCCTTGACCCCACAGGTGGTCGGGGTATGTGGCCTGGTCTCAGGTTTTCACTGGCCTACGCTGTCAGGTCCCTTCCAAGATAATATGCCAATTTCACTGTTTTGTGATAGTTCGAAACTATTCTTAAAGCTACAAAGCCTCCTTCTGCAGAGGATTGCAGTGAGCTTATCAGAGTCCTCTGAGAGCAAATGAAAAGGAAACGATTACTATTAAAACAGAAATAATATAAGGTTGACCTGAGGAAAGATTTCTTGCAGTGGAGTTATAAGAGGACTGCCAGGTTCTGGAGTGTCTTTTTTCTGCCGTCCTGCAGAACTGGGCACCCTCCCCGGGGAGGATGCTCGTGGGCAGCTCTGTTGCTGCTTCTGCCCAGCCTTCACAAGCCTACACTTCGGACAAACCAAGCCTTTTGTGGGAGCTGCCCTAAATTCTCCCGCCTCTCGTTCACACTGCTCCAGAATCCAGCTGAAACACCTGCTGGCACATCTACATTCTCCAAGATGTCTGCAAATATTCTTGCTGGGGGAAACCAAGCTGCAAGCTGTCTTTTCTCCTTTGAGCCCCTGTTGCCTCTCAGGCCCTGGCCACTCCCCTTGTTAGATGGACTCTAAGCCTCGGCAGGGTTTTCTTTCCAATCACCCCTGCGGCAGTCAAGCCCTGTACTCGAGGCTGGGTATCTGGCCAGGAAATGGGGACTCCTTGCTCTCCACCGGGTAAGTCAGAAAAGCAAAAGAGCGGCTAGGAGCCATGCAGTAGAGCAGTGATGGGGAGGCGGGGGCTGAGGGAGGGCGCCGTGGGGCCCCGGCTGGTGTGGGGCCTTCCAGACCTTCTGCATGAGGGGACGACTAATGAGCGACTTGAAGGGCAAGTGGGAGTTGGCCCAGTCCCTCCTGATGCCGTCTTGCAGACAACGACAGTAGCTCTGTGCTGCGGGAACCAACAGAGCAGGTCTCTTTGGTAGCCACCCAGCACTAGGTCTGGGGAGGGGTGTCATGTTTTCCTCGAGGAAGGGCGCTCCTGTGTTAGGTCTCTCCAGCTCCCTCACCTTCACCCCCTGGACTGCTGGGCTGGAGGCTCCAGCACCACTGGTGGGACCCCCTTCATCTCACAGGGGCCCAGGAGCAGAAAGCTGGCCTGAGCCCTACAAGCCCAGAGTCAAAATAGAACTGAGGGAGGAGCAGTGTGAGAGAGAAAGCAGCAGCTCTGCCTGGCCAGAGACGGAATCTGAAACATGAGTTTGGAGCAAACACATGATGTAAAGTTCCTCTGCTGAGTCAGCTCACCCCCCGGCCCTGGCCTCGGCACTCACCACCCGGAGAAACAGTCCTGGTCTTGCAGGGAGGGTGGCCCACTTTCAGAGGCTCCCACTGCGAGCCCTTCTGTTTCTGTCTGCGATGGAGCTTTTTTTGGTTTGGAGGTTTGCCGTCCAAGCTCGCCTTGTTCTCTGCTATCAGGCTTGTGCTGCCGTAGGTGTGGCCCACCAGAGCCCAGAGGGTTAAGAGTGCAAACGAGGCAGGGGGGTGGGTGGTGTCAAGGAGAGGACTCGGGCCGAGGTCAGAAGACCTGGATTTGGGGCCAGGCTCTTGCCCTGTGAAATTTCCAATCTGCCCCTTTACCTTTCTGAGCCTCAGCTTTTTCACCTGTAAAATAATGGGGTGGGAATCATATTCGGTGATCCGTGAGGCCAGCCCAGCTCTAGAATCCTGAAGGCTCTGAGCTCACATAACGTCCCTGGTCATGGCAGATGGGTGACCTGTCTTGGGCATGAGGGCTGGCCCCCAGGCCGTCAGCACTGGGGGTGCTTTGCGTGTTCCTGTGTAGAGCCTCCAGGAAGGGGGTGGGTGGCAACGAGGCACAGTGGCCAGAGGAGCCGTGGGGTCCTTGTCCTCTCAGAGCAGGTGCAAATGGTGCACAGACCTTAGCACCATTAGTTAAATGAGGGGGCTCCCCTAACTTTTCATTTCACTGGTGATTTCCTCATGTGACTTTATGTAATTAATTAATTAATTTAGGCCGTGCTGCGTGGCTTGTGGGATCTTAGTTCCCCGACCAGGGATTGAACCCTGGCCCCGACAGTGAGAGCACCCAGGTCCTAACCACTGGACCGCCAGGGAAGTTCCCCCCTCGCATAACTTTAAAGTTCTCATTTGCCCTGACAAACTGGGCTCTTGGTCATTGCTAGTTGAATCAATGACAGAGTGAAAAGGGACAGGAAGAGCCTGGCCCTTCGCAGTGGGTCGTTAGGGTGAGGGGAGCCGTCACTTGGCTCTTACTCTGTTTCCTTTCTTTAATTTTTGTCATTTTAGTATGAAAACCGTCAAACCTTCAGAGAAGTACGGTAGTGTATCGCCACCCATACATCCATCATCTAGATTTAATAATTACTATTTCTCTGCCATGTTTACTTTACCTGATGTGTTTGTGTTCAGTAGTTGTGGCACACGGGCTTAGTTGCTCCGCGGCATGTGGGATCTTCCTGGACCAGGGCTCGAACCTGTGTTCCCTGCATTGGCAGGTGGATTCTTAACCACTGTGCCACCAGGCAAGTCCCCCCCAACACACCATCTTTTGATTTGTTCAAACCAGAATTCAGTTAACATTCACATACTCCATGTGGATGTTATGTGTCTTAAGTTCCTCTTGATGTGGGTCAGTCCCTCCTTCACCTTTGTTTTTCATGAGTTAAAAAGATTGGGTCAATTTCCCTGTAAAATGTCTCACCTTCTGGATTCATGTCGTTTTCTCGCCATGTCCCTTATCCCTTGGACCCCTGTGTTTTCTATAAAGTGGGAGCTACATATAAAGGGTGTAATACGTTAAGGCTGAGTATTTTTTTTTTTTTTTTTGCGTTACGCGGGCCTCCCACTGCCGTGGCCTCTCCCGTTGCGGAGCACAGGCTCCGGACGCGCAGGCCCAGCAGCCATGGCTCACGGGCCCAGCCGCTCCGCGGCATGTGGATTCTTCCCGGACCAGGGCACGAACCCGTGTCCCCTGCATCGGCAGGCGGACTCTCAACCACTGCGCCACCAGGGAAGCCCCTGAGTCTATCGTATACCTCTGGTTACTCTTGTGAATTAGTGTAACAGGGAAAACTCCTCCTAAGGAGTGTGCGTGTGTGTGTGTGACTGATTTCATCTGTGGAGACTGGCATATTGACTAGCATGAGGTTAAAGGGGTGTGAAAACCTCCGTATCACCATGTTGGTGGTTTTCAGGACCCTGAGATCCTTTACTCTTCCTCCTCTGACCTTTGATATTCCTGAAATACCCCTGTTTCCTTCCAGAAAGGCCCAGGGGATGCCTGGAGGATGGTTGGGAGGTAGGGTCACAGGACAACATGTGGGACCTGCTCCTTTCAGGTCTCTCCGGGTCCCCTCAGTTCACACCCCCCCCCAGGAAGCCACAGCTGCATGTGAAGGTGTGGTCTGGTCGGTAGCTGCTGGTTATGGGGGGTTCCTGGGGGAAGGACCCTGCTGCCTTAGGCCTGAATTGAGTCCAAAGATAAAGTCCTTTCATTGTGAGAGGAACGTAGCCTGAGGTCTCCGGCTTTCCACCTGTGCCTCTTCCAGGTGGAGAGTGAAGCTCCAATAATGAAAATGCATAATGATAAGGATAAGAGCAATCACAACAAAAGTGATCGGTAACTTATGCTTTTCAGATGAAGGGGGTTTACGTAACTCAGCCCAGGTCACACAGCACAGCATGTAACTTGAGAGGCAAGATTTGTGCCGTGGGGTGTGGGTGGCTGTGAGCAAAGCCCTTTCCTGGCCACCAGGCTCACAGAAGCACAGAGGCCAGGGCACAGAGACAGGTGTGGAGCAGTGCCACGTTGTATAAGTGTTAGGGCACCGGCTCCTGACACCACTGGCTTCCCTGCACCCACACCCAGGGAGCCCCAGGGTCCCAGGAGTCCCATACCCCATGCCCAGCCACGGTCTCTGGAGGCTCTGCTCCTGGCTTGGGTTCCCCGGAGCTGGAAAATGCCAGGTCGGGTCACAGTTAAGAATAGAAGGCCACACAGTGGGCACATGCTTCCCTGCCCAGCTCCATCTCGAGCACACAGTCTCCTTGCAGGGCCCCTGCTTCCCCGGTGGGGTGTTGGGGGTGACGAGTACACCGTCCCAGCAAAACCATAACACACACTCACACACTCACATCCACACACACACACTTACACATATATACACACATACACACCACACGAATGTACACAACACAAACACACACGCACACCCCATCCTAAGCTGTTAGTACCAGGACCAGTCAGGTAACTGCAGCTTCACACCAGAGCAACATAGAGAAAAGGACGCTCTAAAGGTCAGCTTTCCTTAGCACTTGGCCTGATGTGGGCGAAGGAGCAGGTTATGGTGGCCACAGAGGAACTTTCCAGTCCCTCAGAGTTCAGGAGGTGCCGACTTTGTCCCCTCCCAGCCCTCCCTTGCTGATGTACTGATCCTTTCTCATTCCTACAGTTGTAGCCAGAACACTAATGACACCCATGATACAGACTCCAAAGTACATTCCACCGTGTGCTTCCCTGTTCTGTGATGCGGAGACGGGGAGCGTGTATGTGAGTGAGTGTGTGTGTGTGTGTGTGTGTGTGTGGCGGTGGCTGGGAGACTCAGGCTGCAGCAGGAACGGGAGCCCTGCGCTGGGCACGGCAGTGGATTTGGGTGTGGCTTCTGCTGTTCTCACTGGTTCTTCCTTTGACCAGCTCCATCCGTGCAGGAGTCTCGTGGTTTGGAATTAGCCCAGTTTCCTCCACGCAGCTGCCCTCTTTTTCCTTGTCTTGACACAAAGGATTAACCCTGGAAAGCAATCTTTACAGCAAACCACAAAGCTGCGGTGCTTCTTTGGAACCGAGTCTTGATCCGGATGCTGTGGTGCCCAGACCCCACGTGGCGGGGGCATGGCATGGCGGGAGGCATGGGTGTCCTGCCCGTTGAGTTCCAGGGATGGACAGGTCCTCAGAGGTGGGGGCCTGGGGCCCTGGGGGCCTGGGGCAGAGGCGTGGCCGGGCCGGGGCTCTGACTGGGCTGCTCTCTCCCCGCAGCGGGAATGCATATCCGTCCATGTGGGCCAAGCAGGGGTCCAGATCGGCAATGCCTGCTGGGAGCTCTTCTGCCTGGAGCATGGCATCCAGGCCGATGGCACTTTTAGCACGCAGGCCAGCAAGGTCCAGGACGACGACTCCTTCACCACCTTCTTCAGCGAGACCGGCAACGGGAAGCACGTGCCCCGGGCCGTCATGGTCGATCTGGAGCCCACCGTGGTGGGTGAGTGTGGGCCAGGGTCCCCGCACAGGGACAGCACCGGACTGCAGAGGCCGTGGTGTCTGGGGAAGCAGATCTGCACGTGGAAGGGGTGGCTCATCCGGAGCCCCCCACCACATGACTCTTGGCTCCTAGAGTTCTCCACAGTCTCGGCATCTCAAGTGGGGATCACAGATCTCTGCTGCCCATTAAAGCTCCAACCTAGTGCTCTCCACTGAAATCTGCTGAGACAGACCGACATTGCCGACATTGTTTATTAAATACTAAGGGTCAAAATACAAATAATTTCAGAAATTATAAGATGCCCTCAAACAGTCAGTTTCCCAAAGTGTATGTTTCCGATCTACGGTAATTGCAGTCTGTCCCGGCGGCCTGGGATAACCTTGCAGCATCTCGCTCACGAGACGAAATAGCAGGCACTTTCTCTTACAGCCAGAGGCTGCCGTAGGTTAGAATGAACCTCTTCTGGATCTTAGGGAACAGGAATTCTGACTTGTGTTGGGGCAGGATTCTTGCTCTCCCAGCTCCCCCGGCCCCAGTACCCCCTGGATCAGTCCTCGCTCTTCATCAGGATTTTCTCATCTTCAAAGTCTGCTCACCAGCGAAGGTGGACAAGTCCCCCGGGGATGTCTGGGCACTGCCTGCGGTGCCTGAACACTGTTTCTAGGGCCACAGACCCCAGGCCCTCTATCCCATGGACGCTTGTACAAATACAGAAAGGGCAGATGAGCTTCCCAGGCCACTGCATAGATGGGTGCTTTCCCTGGGGGAGCAGAGGGACCCTGTAGAAGAGAGGGGCTGTAGGTGGGGCCTGAGGCACCTTGGCCTGCTGTGTGTCCACTTTGCGTGGACCTTGGAGGTGAGCAGAGCCCCCGGCCCCGTGGCCTCTCTTGGGCTCCAGCTCTTCTGGAGCCTGGAACATAGCTTTGCTTCAAAGTTGTTCTGAAATATCTCTAATGCCTGACATGTATTGTTGCCACCAGAGATGGAGGTTAGGGCTGGGACAATTCCGGGGGAGCCTAGGAGCCAGGCATATTCTGAATCTTTCTCTGTGTCCCTGGAACATTTGAATGCAAGTGAAATCGGGTTAAATTCTGGGGTAAATTTTGCAGCATGAATGAAAAACAAGAGGGAAGCCTTGTGGGTCCAGGGGGAAGAGGCAGTCAACTTTGGTGTTTGGCCAGCTTTGTAAACCCAAGGCTTTTTAAGATCCAGCCAGTAGAGCAGCTGGCTTCTCATTGCTGCTTGAGTCCCGGGCTTCTGGCTCTGTTAGTGCCTGTGTTACCCTGGAATTCTCTTAGCCTCGCAGGTATATTATAGGGTTGTCTGTTTCCACCTCAATGGAGTTCAGTAGGTAGGGGTGCCATGTGTATTCTCTTCTGGGAACCAGGTAGTAAGACTGATGGTCCCCTCTCTTGGTAGATGAGGTTCGGGCAGGAACCTACCGCCAGCTGTTCCATCCAGAGCAGCTGATCACAGGAAAAGAGGATGCAGCTAACAACTACGCGCGGGGCCACTACACGGTGGGAAAGGAGAGCATCGACCTGGTGCTGGACCGCATTCGCAAGCTGGTATGTGTTTACAAGGGCAGGGAGCTGGTGAGCTGGACGTACTAGGATTCGCCTCTCTGAACAGGCTGGGTGGAGGCACGTGACCCCTGGCTACAGGATAAACGCCTAAGATTTGGGAATTTCTGCTTATGTCCGTAAGAGGCATTCACAGGGCTGACGCCCCTTCCTCTGGCTGGACATTGTGGGCTGCCCTCCAGGTGATGCCCCAGTAGCACTTACAGGTGCTCTACGGTGGTGTCTGGGGAGATTCCAGGTGTGAGAAAGGCGAAGCTCTTTGCTTCCTGTCAGCACAGTTTAACAAAGCATTTAACTTGGAAGAGAAGAGGAAGATTGTTGATCTATTTCAGCACTTACAAACGGCATTACCAATGTCAAATACGTTCCGTTTAATCCCCTAAATAATGATACAAAGGAGGTCTTGTCCTTGAACTTTACAGATGGGGAGATTGAGGGCCAGGATGGTTCAATAACTTGGTCTGGGTCCCACAGCTAGAAAGTGGCCAAGTCAGGATCTGAACCGGGTTGCTTTGACTAGAAAGCTCAGGGTGGGTCCCTTGTCTACTTGATCCCCCTTTCCTAATCTGTACAACGGAAAAGGTTGGGCTTGATCAGGGGTTCTTGGGAGCTAAGGATGCGGAATTTTCTGTTTAGAGGAGGGCTAGTAGGGTTCATCAGTCTCAGAGCCGTCTGTGATCCCTAAAGCTCAGAACCACAGGACTGAACACAGTCATAGATCACGGCCAATGGGGAAGTTCTGTGACCTGTGAATTCTCTTAGTTCTGGTGAGAGCTAACTGTCAGGTCCTTGCTTAATTATCACAACAACCTCATGAGATGAATTTTTTTTTTTTTTTTGCGGTATGCGGGCCTCCCACCGCTGCGGCCTCTCCCGTTGTGGAGCACAGGCTCCGGACGTGCAGGCCCAGCGGCCATGGCTCACGGGCCCAGCCGCCCCGCGGCATGTGGGATCTTCCTGGACCGGGGCATGAACCCACGTCCCCTGCATCGGCAGGCGGACTCTCAACCACTGCGCCACCAGGGAAGCCCGAGATGAATATTTTTTATTGTTCTCACTTTAACCAAGAAGAAACATGAGTCTGGAGGGTTCAGTTCAGTAACTTGCTCGAATTTTTACGACTCGGAAGTGGCAAAGTTGATGTTAAATCTCAGGTTCTCTGACCCATTTATCTTCCTGAGCCACCTTCCAAGGTTGGGCTGGGATGTGTAGGTCTGCAGTTCCCGCAAGATCAAATGACTAGGGCTGGGGAAGTGGGCAAGGAGCTGGGGCTCTCATGGGGCAAAGTCATTAACCGCCGTGGTTCTGGAAGCTCATTCCTGGTCCAACCAGGCCACTGGGCTGGAAGCTTCATGGACCCAGAGGTGTGTGCAGGTTTGCTGCTCGTATTTTAGCGGTTCCTCCCAAGACCGCCGAGGCTCCTTTGTGTTTCCTTGCTCCTTCAAGGCTGTTTTGATTTCACCCACTTGACAACGTTGAGGGATAGAGTGGGGCAGACAGAGAGGCCCGTGAGGGAGTCCTCAGAGCCTTGTCTCGTGTCCTCCGCTCCCAGACAGATGCCTGCTCAGGCCTGCAGGGCTTCCTCATCTTCCACAGCTTCGGGGGCGGCACCGGCTCCGGCTTCACTTCTCTGCTGATGGAACGCCTCTCCCTGGATTACGGCAAGAAGTCCAAGCTGGAGTTCGCCATCTACCCGGCCCCCCAGGTGTCCACGGCCGTGGTGGAGCCCTACAACTCCATCCTGACCACGCACACGACCCTGGAGCACTCGGACTGCGCCTTCATGGTCGACAACGAGGCCATCTACGACATCTGCCGCCGCAACCTAGACATCGAGCGCCCGACGTACACCAACCTCAACCGCCTCATTAGCCAGATCGTGTCCTCCATCACGGCCTCCCTGCGCTTCGATGGCGCCCTCAACGTGGACCTCACCGAGTTCCAGACCAACCTGGTGCCCTACCCCCGCATCCACTTCCCCCTGGTCACCTATGCGCCCATCATCTCGGCCGAGAAGGCCTACCACGAGCAGCTGTCCGTGGCCGAGATCACCAGCTCCTGCTTTGAGCCCAACAGCCAGATGGTGAAGTGTGACCCCCGTCACGGCAAGTACATGGCCTGCTGCATGCTCTACCGGGGGGACGTGGTGCCCAAGGATGTGAACGTCGCCATTGCCGCCATCAAGACCAAGAGGACCATCCAGTTTGTCGACTGGTGTCCCACAGGCTTCAAGGTGAGAGCTGGTGGCTCGGTGGAGACAGACAGCTAGAGAAGCAGAGGGAGACAGCAAGGATGGGGAGAAAGGTGGGCGCTCAGGGTCGTGGACTGATGTACCTTCCGTGGGAGCTCTGGGATGAGATGGGAAGAGGGGCTTAAGCCAAATGTAACACTAATTTCATTCATTAACTCGTTCATTCACCTATTTTAGGTCAGGAGAGATTTTGAGAGGATTATTGGAAGAGGGGGAGGGCACTAGGGCAGTAGGGAGAAGGGCTCCACCTCTCCTGCCCTAAGATCTGCAGACATCTCAAAGGTCAGGCAGAAAGGACTTTTCTCTTACAGGGAGGAGTGAACGGGGCTAGAACGAACTTGTGTGCAAGTGGGATGAAGAGGATGACTGGGTGGAAGTAGCTCTGATCTGACGGTAGATCAGAGAATGCAGTAACCAGATTATTCAAGTTGCCAGAGAGGTGTAATTCCCTCCTCTAACACCTCAAAAGATGTGTTCTTCTCTCCCCAGTTTATTTTGAAAAATTATTCGCCCTGTAAGTTTTCATCGATTTCGAGTAAGGATAAGGAGTTCCATGGTTATCACGTGGTTGTGATTCACATTATGAAGCCCTGACATTTCCACTAACCGGGAGTGAGCTGGGAGCCTGTTGTAGGTCTGCGGTCTGGGGAACACCGGACTCTGAGGGTTGGTGTGGGTACACAGTAGCCAGGGAAGGCCCCCAGCTCCCAGGACCAGAAGATGTCGAGCACTGGAAGTCCCCCCTGAGTCGCCCTGGCCGGGCAGGCAGCTGCCCCTGCACTTGTGCCTGCTTGACTGCTTTGTCCTGTGTCCCACGGTCTCATCCGAGTCCACCATCAAAGCGGCTGCCACCATTCATGTTAATTAGACCCCTGGCAGGCCTTTAATAATTTAGAGGTTTGCTGAACACCAGAGGTGGTTGTGACAGTTTTTCGAGACAGAGATGAGCACGTCTCAGTTTTCCCTGCTGGGACTTAACGGAAACAAGACACCTCATGCTGGCTTCTCAGCTGAGAGGCTGATGGCAGAGAGCATTTCCCACCCTGCTCTGCTCCAGCCACGTACAGAATCCTTTGCCCTGGACTGTGCCTATTTTTATGTGGCAGCTCTGGTCACTCTTGCGAAAACATTCAGGATCTTCCCCCAAGTTGTTGGGTTTTAATTCTTTCAAATGGAAACAAACAACAAAACAAGCTAGTAGTAAAATGAATAGGCAAAAAAAAGAATGAGATATGAGGGTGGTGGAGAAATTAACAAAAAGGACATGCCCCCGTATTCTTGCCCCTTTATTTTAAGCTGAAGCTCCGGGGTTATGACCAGAAAGATAAGGCAGTGCTAGAACCTTTAGCTGCTTCTCAGAAAAGCACATGCCGTGGGGGTGGATGGTGTTGAACTTCACCCTGTAGCATCCTCCCCAGGGTCAAGGGATGCTACTGCTGAAAAGAGAGCAGAGTTGGCTGGTCTAGTGAAATATGTCATGTGGCATTGCCTTCTCCCTTCTCACTTTGGTCCTTTGCCCCTGTCTCAGCATCACCTCCACCCCCAAGATGCCACTTTTGTTTAAGAGGAATGATAGATCATTGTGAATTCATTTAGTGGGTTACCCACCTTGGCTGTACAGCCTGCTGCCACTCCCACCTCCACCTCTCAGAGGACATGCATTTTAAAGCTACGAATTTAAGAGATTGACAGTTAAGACCTGGTGGCCTGGTGGAGAGGCATTTTGGGGCCAGCTCCATGGTTCTCAGTGTCCCATGAGTATTATCACAGTTGTCACCTGAGGCCCCTTCCAGGTTCCTAGAGTTCCTGGGGTCGGCTCCATTTTGGGGTATGTGTGGGGAGAAGGGAGATTTCCGGGATATTAGCCCCCTCATCAGGTTGGGCTGGATCAACTTGGAGGACCCTCCATGCTGCCAGAACTTGGGGGATTGGCTCATCCAGCAAGAGTTTTAATTGACTTTCTTTGATTTCCATGCTTTTCTTCCAAGAAACCCCACTCCCCAGAGATAGAGGGCCTGGTAAATGCTGACACCATCCCCAGAACCTTTTGCATCTCTTTATTTATTGCTTGAGAATATCTCCCTGATCTTTTTTAAAATTGATTAATTAATTAAGTTTTGGCTGCGTTGGGTCCTCCTTGTTGTGCACGGGCTTTCTCTAGTTGTGGCGAGCGGGGGCTACTGTTCGTTGCAGTGCGCCGGCTTCTCATTGCGGTGGCTTCTCTTGCTGCGGAGCACGGGCTCTAGGCGCGCGGGCTTCAGTAGTTGTGGCTCGTGGGCTCTAGAGGGCAGGCTCAGTAGTCGTGGCGCACGGGCTTAGCTGCTCCGTGGCATGTGGGATCTTCTTGGACCAGGGCTCGAACCCATGTCCCCTGCATTGGCAGGTGGATTCTTAACCACTGTGCCACCAGAGAAGTCCTCTCCCTGATCTTTCAAACAGCCCTTCACCCTTGGCAGAGAAACTGCCCTAAACCCGTTGACAGCATAACTAAGAGGAACCCGAGATACCATTGGAAGGAGTGAACTTATAATAACCCCCGTCTGCTGGCACTGCACACGCGCCCTGCTTGACCCCCTGTTCCCTATCCTCATTTGCCTGCTTGAGTCTCCCACTAGGGTTTCCACCAGCCCTTCGCCTCCCCTTGAGTTTCCCGGCCCAGTGCCGCTTGCTTTTGCTTTCTCTCCCACACGCACCTCTCTACCCACCCGCCGTCCCACCTCCTGATCCCCTCTTCACATCCAGGCCTGCTGCCCCACCCACCACGTGACCAAGGTGCCCCAGCTTGTGTTATCCGCTGACTGCCGCATCTTCACCCTCTCTTCCCCAGGTGGGCATCAACTACCAGCCCCCCACGGTCGTCCCCGGGGGAGACCTGGCCAAGGTGCAGCGGGCCGTCTGCATGCTGAGCAACACCACGGCCATCGCCGAGGCCTGGGCCCGCCTGGACCACAAGTTCGACCTCATGTACGCCAAGCGTGCCTTCGTGCACTGGTACGTCGGAGAGGGGATGGAAGAAGGAGAATTTTCCGAGGCCCGGGAGGACCTGGCTGCCCTGGAGAAGGATTATGAGGAAGTGGGGACTGATTCTTTTGAAGAAGAAAACGAAGGGGAGGAATTTTAAATACAAACGTTCCTCGTGGCTGTGTCTCTTTATTCCTGCTGCCCCTCCAAGCACGTTTAACTTTTCCTAGAGCAGCAGACCCCGGCCTGGGTCCCGACACCAGTACCTGTGGGTGATGGGGCCAGCACGGACGCTGAGCTCTGCCAGACCCTCCCGTGGGGGAGCACAGCTCCGTGTCAGCAAAGGAAACGAGAGTCACTGTCTCTGGGTTAGGGTGCAGGCCAGTCACACCTGTGCAGAGACCTAAGCGGGATTTAAAATTCTCTGTTAGGCTGGGCTCACCCCAAACACAGCCTGCTGGCTGGGGAGCAGAAAGGTGAGATCTGGGCGTGGGGGAGATTCTGGAAAGGGAGTGTTCTCAGAGTTAGAGTTAGAAGCAAGAGCCCATTTCCTGCCCTTGTGAATACACAGATAAACGAGTGGGATCATTCCAGACAGTGTTCAGTGCTGTGAAGCGAAAAAGCAGTGATGGGAGAAGTGGGTGGTGAGGTGAGAAGAGGCCTCGTGGAGACCCGGGTGCAGCTCAGAGCCACCGCGGAGGTTCCGGAGTCAGAGCACGCCGGGTGGGTGTGTGAAGAGCAGGGAGGAGGTGAAGGTACCCGGAGGATGGAGGTGAGGGGTGTGGCCAAGAGCCATGCGGAGTGCAGGGCACACTTAGGCTAATCCTGCACAGGACGTAAGGAGCTTAGGTTTTCTCTAGGTGAAACACAGCATTTCTGTGTGGAATTTGGAAGGTTTTAAGCAGAACACCTACTATGCTTTATATACACATATACCTTATCTCTAACCCCAACCATCTCAAAATGGACATTCTTCTCATTTTATGGTTGAAGAAGCTGAGGTGTAGGGCGTTTATGTGTTGGAGACACAAAAGGGCGGGGGCCAAGAGGCTGTTCTCTCGGCTACCCCGCCCTCTTTCCACCGTTGGTGTTTGTGTCCGGTTCCAACTGCTGCCTCATAAAATGAAGGGTGGGGAGAAGCAAAGTCCATTTATTACAAAGGAGAGGACAAATTAATGCATCTCTTCCCTGAAGTTGGCAGCTCCGGTAGGATTTTTGGAAAAATCAAAAGGCTACTCTGATTAAACTACTGATAAGACACCCAGGGTCGGGCCCGTAGCAGGTCCCTGTGCATTAAATGTACAGCTCGTCAGCTGTGGACTTTCCCTACATGTTTCTACTCTGTATTCCTTGGAGGCCCCGAGAAAAATAGAATAAAATGTTCCAAGGAAAGGAAGACCAGGCAGGAAGTGATGCTACCCACTCGCCGAGGACTGTTTTCGGAGAGACCACACTTTCTTGCTCTTCTGTGAAGGAGATGGTGGCGCTGAGGAGGAGTCCAGATCTCTGCCCATCAGGACCCCCTTGCCCGAGGTCACGCCTCACCAAGTCCCGCAGGGGCTGCAGGGACAGACCCAGCTGTGCGGAGAACTGGGGTCAGGAGCTGTGGCCCATCTCAGGAAGGGGCATTTCCCCTCTGACAGACGTGAGAGACCTACCCATGGGTTTCAGATAAGCCTCGAAGGACTTCCCGAGTGTGGAACTAGGACCTAATTAGGGAGAGAGTAACAGACCCCCGAGACCAGGGTTTAGGAGGAATCACCTACAGTGTCTTCCTTCCCTCTAGATCTATGTGAATTAGGTTAAAATAAATACGAATGGCAAAGTCACAGAGGTGACGTCTGGGAGGTAGGGGGAAGGGGGAGTTTGAGGGGTGATATTTTAGGGCCTTGGATGTATTTCCCCCCAGTTTCTTTCTTTTTTTCTTTTGCGGTACGCGGGCCTCTCACTGCTGTGGCCTCTGCCACCGCGGAGCACAGGCTCTGGAAGCGCAGGCTCAGTGGCCATGGCTCACGGGCCCAGCCGCTCCACGGCATGTGGGATCCTCCCGGACCGGGGCACGAACCCGTGTCCCCTGCATCGGCAGGCGGACTCTCAACCACTGCGCCACCAGGGAAGCCCTCCCCCCAGTTTTTTCTCTTCCATTTTCCCTTGTTTGGTTGAGTCCCTGTCCGATCATGGGGTTGGGCCCGTCTAGCCCTGCTGGCTTTTATCTCTGTTCACGAAGCAGGAGTATTGAATTTTAGAACTGGAGAAATGCATCCCTAGAAAGAGGGTGAATAGGAAAGTGGATGATTCTCTATCTTCCCCCAAGAAAAGGCAGCTTCATAATTCTCCAGCACGGGATTGGCTAGAGACTTCTTAAGACGGTAAAGTAAGTTTGGCAGGTGCCAGAATTGGGCCACGGCCCGTGGTAGGCAGCTTGTTTAGCTCACTGGGCTTTAGCCTGGGTTATCCAGTTTCTTGAATCCTAATGCCATCTCTGAAGGATTCCTAAGTAATTTCTACCGATAAAAAAAAAAAGTCTTTTTTACTTTTTACTATTTTACCCCAGGAGTTAGGAGAGCCCGTAGTTAACATAGTATCTAGTGAAATCCACATGCATATTCATATGTACTCCTCACCCCAGTGTTTGCAGTCTGGGTCCTTCTCAGCAAGAGGGGCAGATCTCCAGCCTTTGAGCGCAAACAGCTTAGGTTCCAAAAAGAACCCACTGAGGAAAAGGATAGCACGTTTCTATATTTATTTTCTCCAAACTGCTGATTCTATCAGTGATTTGATTGGCATTTAACTTTAATACAAAATTGCCACTAACCCCACCATTCTGAATTTTTAAGGGTCACTGGATCAACGCCATGCAATTGTCTTTCCTATTACAATGCCAGTCTACTAAAGGAATCAAAAACTTCCCTTCTTAAAAATTTTTTTGGCCACACTGCGCAGCATGAGGGATCTTAGTTCCCTGACCAGGGATCGAAGTCATGCTCCCTGCAGTGCAAGCAGAGTCCTAACCACTGGACCACCAAGGAATTCCCAAAAACTTCCCTTTTTAAGTTCTCAGTCTAAACTGCCTACATTAAAAAACAAAAAACCCCAGTGCTATAATTAGTTTTTTATTTTTAGGTCTTGTGACAAATTTATGATGTCGACCACTTTAGGGATGAAGGTGAGAGAGTGAGTGGGGCAAGATGGGAGGATATCAATACGGATACTGTTAAATTTTGTAGAGTTTATTTCATCCTTCCTTCCCATATACACAGAACCCCCAAGAGCTAAGGTGAGTCGTCACTTATCCACATTTTTTTCATGACTATGCAAAATGAAACTCCCTATGTGACCTTCTACATATTGCATTTGGGGCTTAGACATTGGAGTCTAAAATGTAAGGCTGTTTGTTTGGCTCATGGTTAGTGAGACAGGACATTGTCTCTCCAAGCAGGTTCTATTATCTTGCAGTGGGGAGAAATAAAAACACATGAAGTGATCTTTTGTATTAATGCCAGGGACTTCCCTGGCGGTCCAGCGGTTAAGACTCCGCACTCCCAATGCAGGGGGCACAGGTTCCATCGTTAGTTGGGTAACTAAGATCCCACATGACATGTGGTGTGGCCAAAAAACATCCCGAAAAACAAAAAAAAAGTCCCCAAACCCCAAGATTTGTATTAATGGCAGTGCAAAAAACATTAGTAAAATGTTAGCAGAGTCCATACCATGTTAAAAAATATAGCACAACCAAGGAGGATTTATTCCAGGAATTCAACCGTGGTTCAGTTATTAGGAATTCCATCAGTCTATTTTTTTAAAGTAATTTTATTTTATCTATTTATGTGTTTATTTTTTGGCTGCGTTGGGTCTTTGTTGCTGTACGTGGGCTTTCTCTTTAGTCACGGCGAGCAGGGGCTTCTCTTCGTTGCGTTGCACGGGCTTCTCATTGCGGTGGCTTCTCTTGTTGCAGAGCACAGGCTCTCAGCGCACAGGGTTCAGTAGTTGCAGCACATGGGCTCAGTAATTGTGGCTCACGGGCTCAGTAGTTGTGGCGCATGGTCTTTGTTGCTCTGTGGCATGTGGGATCTTCCTGGACCAGGGATAGAACCCATGTCCCCTGCGTTGGCAGGCGATTCTTAATCACTGCACCACCTGGTAAGTCCTACAATGTATATTGATGTGGATTTATGTGGCCTTATCTAGGGAGTCCACCCAGTTTCTTAAATCTGCAGATTTATGCCTTTTGCCAAATTTGGGAAATTTTCAGCTTGTCATATCTTTGAATAGTTTTCAGCCTCACACTTTCTTCTCTTCTTTGGAGCTCAGTGAATGTTAGATCTTCCATTATAGTACCACAGGCCACTGAGGCTCTGCTAACATTTTTCAGTCTATTTTCTCTCTGTTGTTAATATTAGATAATTTCAATTGTTCAATCCTCAAATTCACTGATTCTTTCTCCTGTCATCTCTCTTCTGTTGAGCTCACCCAGCAATTTTTTCCTTTTGAAACTCTGGCATGACCAAACAATTTTTTCTTTTTTAATAAGCTTTTCTGGGCACTGATTGTAAATACAGATTTTATTTAATACATTGCATTTTACAACATGTTAATAAAATGCAATGTTATTTCCTTTCCCTGTGCACATATTCCCTAAGTAATGAGAAAGCCAGTAATTCAGTACAGTATTGAATTGCTCAATAGCTCAACCTTAAGACTGTCACTGGATTTGTTGTGAATTTGGCTCCTTCAATTTTTTTTTTTTTTTTACCGTGGAACAGGGCTGAATTATCTATGCTCAGGTTGGCTTCACTTACATCTTCAAAGGTGGGCCCGGAAGAGGAGCTCCGTCACCCAGGAAGCCCCAGGCCTTCCTCTCACACTCTGCTACAACTTGATAATGATGAGGTTGCAAATTTTCTCCAGCTCTTTCTGCCAAAGTTCAAGTTCTTCCTTTTCTGCAGTCAGATTCTTATCAAGCCAGTTGATGATTTCATTATACTTGTCAAGAATCTTCTGTTTGTCCTCATCTTTGATCTTGCCTTTGAGTCTCTCATCTTCAACCTTTGCTTTCATGTTGAATGCACAGAACTCAGGTGGATTTCTGGAAGCCATCTGCTCCTCTGCTTCTCATATTCAGCTTTGTACTTCTTAGCTTTTGGACCATAAGCTCAATGTGTTCTTTGCTCAAATGGC